TGTCAAATGGGCCAGAGTTAAACCAAAACAAAGCTGGCAATTGACATTTATCCACTTACATCCAATTAAGAGGAACTCTCGGCTCCTCATGAGTTGTTATTCCCTGCAAAGAGAGAAAGTTTGGAAAACAAAAAATCCCCAAGTGCCACAAAAATGTTAGGTTTTGGTCTGACCTCCTAACAAACAGCAGCTTCCCTTCAAAGAGATTATTCATCTTACTTCACACTTAGCCGTCTAAAATGAAGCGGCTAGATTTCCAGAAGCACCCAGCAGCCGACAGCTCCCTTTGAGATCCTTTCTCCTGCATGCTCAGGCCCCGCAGCAAGAGGAGACGCTCCTCCTTCTGCACTTCAGTGGGGGGGGGATGCGGGGGGGGAATTATGGTCACCTCATTAAGATGCCTAAATCAGGCTTGGACTTGTTTGCGAGCCTAGCCCTGGCTGCCATGGTTGGTGGTCACTTCTGATCATCCCATCCGGTTGTTCAAGGGAGGTTTACACGGCAATTCAGCCTCGCCTTGGAGTTGCTACAATATGGGTGAAGGGTCCCGTTGCGACACAGGGTCGTTTTTATGGGGGAAAGCAGAAGCCAAGATGCTTCAGCAGTGGAAGGGGGAGGAATAGGTCTTTTCCGAGAAGATCAAAGGAGCGGAGAAGGGGGGGACTGACTTTCGGCAAAAGGAAAATAGGGCTCATCCTGCTGCCTCCACGTTGCAATTCATGGCTTGTTTTCGAGACCCATCATATGATTTCTGCAATAATGGGGGAGGGAGGACTTGGTTAAACTGTAAATGAGTATTACTTCAAGTGCTCTGAGGAAATATGCTCTTCCCCCATCGAGCCCATACATTATTCCCACGTAGTTACAGGGCCTCACATTTCCTGGAACTATCATCCAGACCTTAATTCTCCTCACACGACATCCCTTTAAAATTGTGAAGCTCTCTTAATCAACCTTTGTATCAGCGGCAGATTTGCAGTATGACCTAATTTGAAAGATGTCTCAAAGTGCTGACTCAAAGGGTTGGTGAATAAAGGCCGGTCATTGCCGCTGTGACACTAATGTGATGCAAAACAAAATCGAGTTGCATCAGCTGAACATTAGTTTGCAAAAAATATTAGTGATTGAAGCCACTTGCTGGTGATCTTTTATTTATACTTACGAGATTTATACTTTTTGGGGTCTGAAACGGCTCTAAAACCAACTTCTGGCAGAGAGGCACGAAGACTCTTTAATGGTGAAAAATCCCAGTCGGATCTATACATCTAAGCTGCATCATTTGCACTTCATAATCTCCTCTCTTTTATAGAGCAGGAGGCAGACACATTATTTTAGAACTTTTATTAAAATATTTATACAGCAACAGATGAAAATCCTCATCCTAATATGTCACTTTGCATTTTTCGGTTACGTTCCAAGTCTTTATCTTTTTTCCTTCTCTAATTGAAATGCAGCGATACTCCTTCATTCTCTGGATAAGTAACTGTCTTAAAATGACTAGCAATTACTTTGGGATGCAAAGAAATAAAAAGACAAGAAGAGATTTGGGCCAGAAATTTTATGGGGAAAAAAAGTTTGTCAAAAAGCAAAACAAAAAAAAAAAGCCCAACATAGTTTTATTTAACTTCGCAAAAAAGGAAAAAGTGAGTAGAAATTACTGAGCTTTCTCCTATGATTTTATGGGGGTATCGCTTAAATGATTTTTATTCTTTAGTTTTTCTTTTCCATGCTTTCTTAAGGAAACTGATTTGAGTGAGAGCAACCTGGCTAGAGAGGAGCAGAGTGCATTTCTTAGTTGGTTTGTCAAATATTGGCTGCTAATTAACACTCAGAAGAGTTCCTTAAGAATCAGGGGTCTGGGGATGAACCAACTGAGCAGGAATTGTTTTTCCGTGTGGGGTTTTTGATTTTAGTTATTTATTTCAATTTTTAAATTGAAATGTCAATAATGCAAATTGTCTAATATGTGCTGATAAAACGTCTACGACTTTGCACCAAAGTGACTGAAAACCAGACACACATGCACAGAGAAGAAGGGAGACAGCCCATTAATTTAAAATTTAGAGGACCAATAAGTTTTTGATAGCAGTGGGTTACTGTGCTAATGATTATTTAACTCGCTTCATGTTGGGTTAAGTATGTATGTCTATGTAAAGTGTAAAGCCTTATTGAAGTGCGACAATGAGACTTTCGCCTCTGAAATGTTATATTCAAAGCCGGGGGGGAAAGTAGTAAGATTATAAAACACAGTTATTATATGATAGCACATTTCAAGCATTTGTGAAGCAGAGGCTGCTATGGTTGAAGAAGTAGATTTTGCTATCGCAGGAAAAAACCTCAACATACACAAACCCAAAATACTTTTACATTTCCCCTCTGCTGCTTCTTAGGAGCTATTTTAGTATGGCTGTAATTATTGATGGTTGTAAGCACAGAACGGGGAGCATGGCTGGATGATGTACCTTGCTGGTTATTCTCCTAATTCTTCTTCTCATCCTTTTTCTTGGTTTTACTATTTTATTTTATTTTATTTTATTTTATTTTATTTTATTTTATTTTATTTTATTTTATTTTATTTTAATTATTTTTCTTGAGTGTGTATTTCCACAGTATAAGATACCAAGGGGTTTGGGGTTTGCTTGAGTCTTTCAAGCTTGAAGGGACATCTGTACATGTTATTCAACAAAATACTGATCATTCTTTTTCAAATAAAACGCAATGCCACTTCTAAGTAGAGGAGAGAAAGCAAATAAAAAAAAGGGTAAGAATAGCAATAAATGTTTGATTCCTTGTAAATGATTTGCAGACTTTCTTAGTTCATCATTCTTCAGGTACAGTGCTGTTTGGGATGTATTTATTTATTTATTTATTTACTATTTCTAAAGGGATTGCACTTGCTAAACCCCTCATTTCAGGTTGTTAGAGCTTTATGTGGTGGATTCCTTAGCAGTTGTGTGTAAGTACTGCCATTTGTGAATATTTTGTGTCCTTCAGCCCTCCTAGGAAGGTGTAAGTAGGAATTCTCTAAAGCTTGTAAGTGTTGCCTATGGGGAAAGGATGGCAAAGTACTGGCTAATGATCTGGAAGCTATCTGACATTCGGAGACAAATACTAAACATTATATATATATACATATATATAAAAAGAGATTTTTTTTTCCCTTAAAAAAAGAAGAAAAAGAAAGCAATGAAAATTTATGACCTTAACATTCCTTCAGGGTCAAGCAATTTATCAAATTCTCTCACTTTCTGGTTTCAATTACACAGCTATTGTGGAAGGAACTTATTTTAGCAGGTTCATTTGCCTCAGTAGGGAATACAGGACTTTGGCCTAATGCTTCACCTTTAGTGCAGGCCATTTGAGCCTTAGAACAAATACCAATCATCACTCTTTGGGAAAAAAAAAATAGATCTGCATCGGCGTGGCCTATTGGAATGGGGTTTCTGTCAAGGTAAACGGTTGTCGGCAATGACTGTGGTAGAGTGGCGATAAATCCCATTTTATTGCTGAAAAATTCCAGCTTCTCTCCATGCCTGACAGCTCCCCACATTCTCGTACCCATTTGGGCAATTTCTGCACTATGTCCATCTGGTTCTTATTACCTCTCAACCTGCCAGTGTCTGATCCAGAAAAAGTGCAGGTCAAAAACAGGGGAAAGAAACCTAGGTGATGGACAAAACAGAAAGAGAGTGATTGAGAGACCGAGCCGTGCACCCTGTTCCTCCCTCCCCAACAGAAAAACAAACTAGGTTTGAGGGGGACAAACAGTTTAAGGGAGGTTGCTAGCTTAATTATGAAGTTGCCTGCAATATCCTTACAATAGAAAATTAAATAGGTAATAATCTACGCACTCCAAGCTTCAATAACAGCACCAAATATTTGATGTTTGCACAGGACACTAGTGACACCTGCCTAAATGAAACAGTTCAGGAGAAATGGGAAAAGTCAAGACTTCAAACCCTCGATTATAGGAGTCCTGATGCGCTCATTTTATCTGCAGACTTTTCCATAGTGTGCCTTGGCATTCGGGAGGTTAAAACTTGCCTACAAAGAATCACTTGGGGTTGTAAATTTTTGCAGGAAGTGCACCAAAGTATAAATAAATTGTAATTTGAAAAAAATAACGTTAAATAAATATGTTAGACTAGCTTCATGTGATAGAAAAATCTTCATTTTCATGTAAGCGTTTTGCATGCTGCTGAATCCAGACCTACGTTAGGAAGTTCAGTTTCTTCCCAAAGTCCCCTATAATAAGTAAAGAGAATGTCTGGCCATTTTTTTAATTAAGAAAACCCAAACAAACATGAAATTAGTCCAGGACAGCTGATCTGTTCTTAAGTCAAAACAAACAAAAAAAATGGAGCACTTATTCTTTTCCCAGTTAAAATGATATCTTGTGGTCAAGGACCCACTAGTGCTATCAGGAGACATGGCCTGGTCTACCAACTCCATCTCCTCTTTCAAGAGCCCTGTGAGTTTAATTGCAATTCCTGTATTTATTCTACCCAAAATGCCTCATATTCCACTCAAAACGCTGCTTGTTGCATCTTTTTCTCCAGAAGACCATCATTGCAATGCGATCTCATGTTAGCTTTACACAGCCTCTTCCTCCATTTCCTGAAGATGTAAGGGAAATTAAACCCAACTTTTTGGAGCTGCCTCCTATACTAAAGGCCTGACTAAATTCTCAACAGCAGGAAATTTGGAACATGCCCTACAGTCTGTTTTGTGACCCTTTTTGAACATCCCACATTGGGCATCTCATATATAGTGGGACATGTTGGTGGGTGTATGGTCTGCTCTAGCACCAAAAGAATGGACATTGTGATTGTGGTCTTATGTTAGGAATTACATGCCCGTGGCTTCTACAAACATGTTGGCTTCCAGAAGCTTGAGCTGGGGCTCCAGCAGTGAAACAACAAATGGGAGTATGGTTTCCAATGGAATTGAATGAACTTGTTGGCATTGAACAAGGAGAGAGGACATAAGATTAGAAGAAAGCAAAAGGTGCAGAGAGTTCAAGTCCTTACTCCAGAATGGGTCACCTAAAAACGTCACATGTAAAACACAACATCCAGCCTACCACCTGCCCTCGCAGGCTCTCCCTCTGCTGTTGGTGTATCCATTTAAAATAAGAATATAGGGGATTTTGCTTTAATGGGAAAAGTCTTCCTCCCTGTTACCTTTTGGTGTCAGTAATAGCACTGAGAAATCTGACTGCATATGGTTAGTGTTTGCTTGCATTTGTCATGTGTTATAGAATTAGATTTTTTAAACTATTATTTTTGCACAGCCTTTTATTCAGTTGTGGGGGGACACTATGCAGATCTATATACCAAGCTATAGGAGCATGGTCTGAAATGCCTACTAAATCCTTTGCTGGATGAACCGCTCTCAACCACCCCATCCGCTTTGCCTGTGAAGCCATTGAAAACAAAAGAGGCTGACAACAGGGGAAGCCCCAACTTCGACAATGAAAATATGTCAGCATGAAAATGGTTAATGGTGAGTATTATAGCTTCAAAAGAGCCCATTGGCTACCCCTAAAGGATGCCCTGCAATTGTTAAACTCATCAGATGCAACTACCCCTCCTCAGCTAGTCCTTACATTTGTCTGGCTAACAGTAAAAAAATACTATAATAAATCGGTAACATATGTTGCCAGACAAGAATAAGTGATATAAATAAAGAGTCAAGAGACATAGCCCCTCAAGAACAATGTGTAAAGATTTAAACTTTCAATGTATTAGTTAAGCTAGGAACATTTTAGGAGTAACTTGAAAGTGGTGTACTGTTTGTTTATATCATTCCTTCTCTTTTTTTTAATCTTTTTTCCTTTTTTTAATGTTTTTTTTCTTCTCTTCAGATTCCATTTTAAATCAAAATGTTCTCCATGACTGACTGCTTTGCAGCACTAGGGTAAGTCCCATTTTTCCACAGCTTAAACAAAAAATATGCCTAAGAAATCTGTGCCAAGAAGGCATTTTGTTGGGTTTTGGTTTAGGAAATAAACACGATGTTGCTGGGAAGACAGCCTATTCTATTTTATTTTATTTTATTTTATTTTATTTTATTTTATTTTATTTTATTTTATTTTATTTTATTTTTTAAATATAAATATATGAAATTGTGCATTTGCAAACCCAGCTACTATCAAAGCCAATTCTTCGTAAAGGTGACAAGTTACCCAACTTGCAATAAATTAACAGTAGCAGCATTAAAAAAGAACGTATAAACCAAAATACACTTTGAAACTCGCCTGGATATTTTATTTATTTTTTTCCTTTTATTAAGACATCCTTTGAAAAATGGCATAAAATAAATAGTTTTACAAAGCAACAATATAATCAATCTCTAAACGAGAAGATAAATCACGGATTTCATTAACTGCTGGTAGCCAATTTAAATTGTAGTCTTGTCCATAATGTCTATCTATCTATGTATGTCCAAGTTATATTAAAAACCTTTAAATGGCTTTGTAATATCAGCTACATCTAGCTATTATAATAATTAATGATACTGTTTTATAAATCAATATATGTATTCTTGATAAATTCATATCCAGTTAATGGTGTAATTTAAATAAAAAATTAATGTAATAAAGGACATACTGGAATAGGCAGGAAATCTTTAAAGGTTAAGAGGCAAATTTGTCTAAATTCTTTTCTTTGTACCTATTTTTTGAGAGAGCCTCCATTGAAATTCAGCTGATAGCAGGCTGGCTCTTCAGATCACACTCTTGCCATTACTTTTGTATTAAGAGCACTCGGTGAGTTTTTGCAGCCAAAGGAAAGGGAAAGCTCCTTCAGCGAAGTGAATACTTTCTGCCGTGGTTTCTTATCCTGCTGCAAAACTGCAAACAAAAAAATAAATCACTCAGTGTTTGTCCAGAAAAAGAAATGGTAAAAAAATGCTTTTTTTCTTTATTTTTTAACCATTTCCTGTTGATTCTATATTTGTAATATTACAAGGATATTTTGCCTTTTCTATACAGTGTCATTAAAAAAGGTAAAACATGGATATTTTGTTCCAGGCATGAAGTGCATTCAGAGGAGCATGGAAACCCTGCAGACTGTTCAGTGTAATAAAAAGCTGTTCTTTATCTCTTGTTTTAAATACAGTTAATCCTGTTTATTCAGCAAACACATCTAAGAGCAACATGGAGGAAAACACTGAAAAAAAGAGAAAAAGCTGAAAATTGCCTTTCTGTATTTGCAGTGGTGAGAAACCGTGGCTCTGTTCCTTTGCTTTTATTTATAGTCAGTAACCACAAAATGTATCTCTAACAATAACAGGGGATTTTAATAGGCAATATTAATTGTTCTTCCCCTAACTTTTGATCTTAAATGTTTCAAACAAAAGCCCGCTGCCTGTTTATACACCAAATTTGTTTGAAGAATATCTCTTCGAAATGATGCAAAACATGACACTTTGTCACCCGCCCTGACATGGTACAGAAATGTCATTTAATCCATCGAGCGATTTATTTTTTTTGGGGGT